GGAGAAACTGAACAATGACATCACCTGAGAATCTTTTTAACTTTTTAAGTGATTTTCTTGTCTTGAGTCAAAACCTTAAACAGGAGAGGAGGGGGGTTTGTTAAAAAAAAAAAAAAAAGGCAGGATTAAGCACAGCAGGGTTATCTGAGTTCACACGGTGCCCTTCGGAAATGGTTTCAGAACAGCATTTATGCAGTAGCAGGAAAGCTGTCGTGACACATCAGATGGGAAAGCCGGCGCGAGGGGAGTCAAACCAGTTGATAACATGTCACACCTCCAATCTTACAATGTCAGGTATCTGTAAACTGAACGACATGTTGTGACAGATTAACAGTCGAGTCAGTGAAGCGTTAACATCAAACGGTCGCAGATCAGGAAGACGGGTACGTAATGTGCTGCATGAGCGGAGTCAACGATTAAATCCTGACGTCGAGAAAAGGTTGAGACGCGGCAAACGACTTCATGTGCAAAAAAAAAAAAGTACACGGTGTGTGGGGGAATAAATGAGGAAGGCAGTGTTCTTTCTCCGAGCTGCAGAGGCTTCCAATGGCACGAGGCGCTCAGCAGCCACGTTGAAAACTTAGATTTTATTTTAGCCGAATGTAAATAATGTTTTGGAACACATGTCTCCTCTGAGAGCGAGAGCGAGGAGGGAGGGAGAGAAAAAAAAAAAGGGGTGACCACATATAAGGAAATCAATGGGAGAAAACTATGCCTTTATCTTTTAATAAACCGTAAAGCCAGGAGGCAACATGAAATTACAGCATAATAGCAGTGGAGTCTTCTGAAGACTTAATTGCCTTAATTATAGCACTGCAGAGAAAGAGAGCGGGAGAGAGAGCGGGAGCGAGGAAGGCATGAAGAGGAGGAGGAGGAAGGCGAAAGAATGGAAGCAGAGGAGAAGAAAGTAGGGGAGAAGGAGGGAATGATGTGATAAAGGCGCTCTTGCGTGAGCCAGATGTTGCAGGTGTAATCCAAGTGTGTGTTTGAATGTGAGCACACAACCTTCTGTTTTACGTTTCCTCACAGATCTCTGCACATATTTACACTCGTTCTGTTTAGTAACTGTGCTGCTGCTGCTGCTGCTGCTACGTTAATGTGAGAATCCACGTGAATGGAGGAGCGAGCGCTTCGCTGAGAAAAGTCTCTTTCCAGACGAGTGAGAACGTCTCTCCCTCAGATCTTACAAGCTGGCAGGCTTACTTAGGGATGCTAAACATAGCTTTCATTTTCCTCTGTGTCTAGACTGGATTCTCAGTACTTTCTGCTGCGGTTTCTGTTCGCTCGGGGAAGATTGTACCCTAATTCTCATGCCTCTGAGCCAGCGGGAAGTTTGTTTAGCCAGCAGAGTTGTGAAGTACCTGTGAAACTCAGCGTGCAGCTCAGGTTCAGAGTTTAGCTGCTTTTTTATTTTCTGCATGGATGACTGATCAAGCGATGGTGTTGGGGGCCAGAGATCATGTTTCAGCTCTGAGGGAAATATTGGCAGTGGAGGATTTCGAGAGATAGTCGACTTAACTTTTCCTCAAAGTTTGTGCCTTGACTTCATATCAGAGGGAAAGTTGTATAAAGTTCAGATCTCATAAATTGCTTCTTGCAGAAACTTTTTTTGCACCCTAATGGCAGTATTTTGCTTGTCTGTACTTTCTCTGCTGCTATGACAGATTAATTTCCCCTCAGGGGTTATAAAGTCATCAAACCATCTGTCTAAATGTACTCAATTAAAAATCCTGCAGAATTACTCACCAAGGTTTATTACTAAAGAACTTTTTTCTGCAGTAAAATGGCCTCAGTGAGTGACACGTTATTATAAATTACCGAATGAGCTTGTTGCATTGATGCACATGTAGAGATTAACTGTTAACGGCGCTCAAGTGTTAGTTTTAATACTTAATTTACTATAGTTTGGGAGCTCATAAAACACGACATTAACTTCTAAAGAAAAGATCGGAACCACATATCAACAAGTCTCCTCGCTGATTGAATACACTCCCTCTCCACTTGTTTTGTGATTCGGGGCCATCTGTGATCTGGGATGATCAAAATCTTACTTCGACCTGATGGACAAATGCTGAACTGCTCAGTTTCGATGAAACTTGAATGAGTTCACTTTACATCACAGGATTAAAACTCTGTATCAAAGTGCTTTCACAACATGTCTTTACAACGCTCGAAATCCTACCGCCAGCTTGACTCAGTGAAGTATTTCCTCTCTGGAGTTTGGAGCAACATGGTGAAAGTCCTGAGAAAAAAAACATGTTGACACACAGCAATAAATATGTATCCTTCCTTTGGTGTCCGACATTGTGCTCTTTTTTTTTTTTTATAGTGTTGGGAAGGAGATGTGTCATGTTTTTTAAGAGAGCCAGTTTTGCCTGTGGCTGCATTTTTGTTGTCGTCAGGCAAGTCCCTGCACTGCAGCGTGTAGGCCTGCCCGGGTGGAGATTCTTTAGGAGGAAGATCTCTTTCTGCTCAAAGCGTCTTACCAAGAGCTATTAATTATTAACTGGGAGAGCGAACTTCAAAGCAGCAGACTTGTGCTGAATTAAATGGGGGCTGGAGCCTGGCAGTGTGGAGCTGAGAGAGCGAGGGGAAATAAAGAAACTGGGTGAGAGGGAAAAGCCGAGTGAGATCTCACTTTTGAACTTTCCAAGCACACAAAGTGAAGGAAGAAAGCGAAAAAAGTGCGATGTTGGTTTATGTAAAGGAGGCAGGAGGAAAAAGAGCAGAGAGAGGGAGAGGTTGTGTTTGTAATGTTTCAGTGTGTGATGAGGCTTTTTTATTTCACCGCTGTTGAAAGATCGATCAGTTTTCAGGGTTAATTAGTCCTGAAGGAGCCACATTCACAAACAGCTGGATTAGACCAAAGGAAGAATCGAATTGAGAAGTAGCTCGTTCACATGGTGTGTTAACACGTTCCTGAAGCTCATTCACACTCACAAGTTGTGTATGGTGCATGTGCCACCTCTTATTTCAAAGACCTTTTGTTACTTTGGTCGTGTTTTCCTCCTGCTGTGACTTGTCCACACAGTCGTCGTCGTCAGAAGATCGACACACGTGCTCTGCTTGTTCTAAAAATATATTTTATTAGTTTCATTATTGATTCTGTTATTGACACGACGCAAACACCTCTAGTTATCATTCTCTCTTCGGAGGAGGAAGAACTAAACTGCTTTAAACAGCAGAACCGCTGCTATTATTGATTAGAACCAGTTTTGTATTGAATCCAAACTCACTTTAGCTGCACATGCTACTTCCTGGAAAGACCGATTTAATCATTAACCCCTTTCTAAGACTCACAATACTCACAGGAAGTAGTAGGAATACCGCAGGTACCCTGTGGAAAAGTAAAATCCCAAACAATGTCACGGTTAGAAAACTGGATCATATAAGAGAGGATAATCCTTTATTAGTCAGTAAGAGTTAGAAATAGGCACCAGAAAGTAATAATAAGTAACATGCAATACTTAAGTGTAAAGAACTATGAAAGATACAGATGACAAAGCTTTAACTAGTAAACAGTCTGTTTAACCTTAATGCAGCTGAACCCAGTGTGCACGCATTCATGGATATCACTTCTCTAAATGTTGCTGATTTCTTTTATCGAGTTCCACGATTTAATCCCTGAAAAACCAGTGACAATGTAAAAAAGAAAAAGCCCTTTATCACAATGTTAATGAAACTGAGAAAACATTGACTGATCCGCCTGTTTGTGCAGATCCACACCAAAACTGAATGGGTTCTTACTCGGTCCATGTTCAATTCATTCTGCAAGTTTTGTAGAAATCCGTCCAGTGGCACTTGTGTTATCCTGCTCACAAACAAACAAACCAAAAAAATGGACGTGCAGCTGATATTTTTAATGAGCTGAACAATATACATCACCCTCACACCTAATGCAGGAGTATCTGTTAGAGGAGTGAACTTATACCGACACCTGATGTGAGTGTTTCCCTTCAACTCGTCACCTGTCTGTTTATACAGTTGGTTGACAAGCGTTTGCATCAAACCGATCTTTCATCTTCGGGCCAAAGCTGCAGAGACTTTACTCAACATCCTCCTGTTGAGTGCTGTAACCTCAGAAATCAACATGATGCGTTGTGAGAAGAGTTATTGTGCCCCCCACCCCCACCCCCCCACCCCCTCACATACCACTTCTCCCCGTCTCCGTTCCTCCTGCAGACCGGAGCGCTGACACTCTCCAGCCACTCTGCAGCCAAGTCACAGCGCTGTGCACTGTCACTTTGATCCTCATCCCCCTCTCTTGCCTCCAGTAATGAAGAGCGCTGGCAAAGGCCCAAGGGCACTTGATAATACCAGGATATGATCCCGGCCGCGCTCTTTTAGATCATGTAGTGCAGACATCAAAACGTTGTCTAAATAGGGCGCCGTGAATCAAGAGGGGTGAGAACGGGTTGCAGGGGAAAGCAGGAGTTAAGATAAAGGGAAGCAAATTTGGATTTTGCACAGAGATACTTGAGCTTCTGCAGATCCAAGCATTTCCTTTCTCTTTTGCCTTAAGCAAAAAAAAAAAAAAAAGAAACTGTGCGATGACTTTCTCCACTCTCACATGAAAAGAAACTCACTTTTTCAGCTGGTAGAAATCCCTGATAACTTTGTTCAGCTTCACATTCAGCTCAGAGTCGGAGCGGAGTTGCACCAGAGCTGCATATGGGAATGAAGAAATGTTGTATGAAATGAAACAGACCCTTGTAGCTTAATGTGATGCAGATGTACTCTACATGACGTCATGAAGAAACGGGGAGATGCACCACATGTGAACGAATGTCATCAGTGGCTTGTTTACTTCTCGCCTGTCAGTTCTGTCTCTTCGCTTTCTCGTCTGCACATTCCACAGGATTCACTCGTGCAGAGATCGCCCTCTAGTGGGCTGAATTTGTAGTGTGAGAGCTGAAGTTGAGAGTGCACTTAACAAACGGCTCTTTCTCTTTTTACGTTGCCGAATGTGTTTTAATGATTTTTTTGCTCTGTGTTTGCAGGCAAAGAGAGCGGTGCAGCGCGGAGCCACGGCCGTCATCTTCGACGTGTCGGAGAATCCAGATGCCATCGATCAGGTTTGTACACACCTAAAATGACCCAGGCGTTCACGCTTTCAGCAACGCCAAAAACCGTCTAATCTGTGCGTGAAAGACTTTTGCTTTCCACCTCTGAATAAAGCTCAGCAGCGTGCCCGCCCTGCCCTTCTGCCTGGCACTGTGTGTGTGTGTGTGTGTGTGTGTGTGCTGTTTGTGTAGACAATGATCTTTCTATCTTTAGTTCTGTTCATGTGGATCAGCCTCGCTCATTCAACCATCCTGGGCCTTTGAGCTCAGACTCATGTTTGCAGCAGGGCACTGTGCTCTGAGGAGGACTGAAAATGGATATCCAGGTTCAGCTTTCACTAGACCATGACCAAACTCCGTTGAGCTCATAATTGCTCAGGTAGCGCACATTACCTCATCCCCCGAGACTTTGGATCTGTCTTTGAGTGCACATTTGGGGGAGCGCACACAGGCTACAGTAAGAACAGAGTGTATTTCTCATCACACACACCCAGACGCTCGCATTCCTCCTTCTTCCAGTCTTTCTGGCTCCTGCATCTTTGGTGTTAAGAGGTATAATACACGAGTTGCTCCTCTGAGCGCCTTTGTCGCAAGAATTCTCCTGTGGTATTTATCCTCGCCACGCCAGGCCTAGACTTGCAGGTTTTTTCTTTTTTTTTTTTTCTTCTCTCCTCCTCTTCTTCTCTCCCTCCCTCCTCGCCTCTTCTTCTCTGCCGCTGGGTCGTAAAGCGCGTAGCTGAGAGATAAAAGGGATTGCACACAGACCACATCAAAGGCAGCGCTGGGCGGTTGTGTTAAATTCCCCCGAGAGGCATTTCCAGTCAGAGCGGCCCGATCAGCAGAGACAGGACCCACAAGGCTGAGGGGCAGGGAGGAGGAGCTTAAGGAGAATTAAAGTCCTGGGGCCAAAATTAGGAGAGTTAATGTACTTGACCTGCTTTTTAATGTGAGGCCAAACGCACAGAGTGTTTCAGACACTTTGTGGTTTTGTTGAGAGAAGAGTCAAGTTTCTGATAAAGTTTTTATTTCCCCTCCCCTCCACTTTAAGCTTGCATTTATACGCTGACTTTACATTGGCGTATTGTTAGTCAGCGGCCAAGTTAAAGTCTCGGTGGAGTCGCTTCTCAACGCGGCGGCAGAATCGAGCACCAGATCAAAAGTTTTCCGCGTCTATACTTTTTAAACCCGAACATACAATATTTCACTTGGGAACATGACGACAGCAGAAGAAATAGAAATGCGAATATCCTCGGTATTTCCCTTGGGCTTTTCAAATTACAGATTCCAACCAGCAGACAAGAGAGAGGGCAGAGCCGAGACGCAGAGGGAGGAGTAAAGGAGCATGTCAACTGACTGAAAAGCCAGGACATACTATTCATCCTCCATTTCCTCCTGCTCCCTCTGGCAAACGCTGACCACAGTTTCCATGTCTCGAGCCTATAGGTCATTTTCCCCAGTTGGTAAAAGAAGAGTTTATGTGCTCTTTTTTTTTTTTTTTTTAAGTCCAGACGGTTCATATGCACATTAGCTCGTGGTTCCTAAACTTTCTGCCTGATGTAACCTAAAAGTCAAGCAACAAAAGCCACGCTGAAGGATTTTACATCGTCTGTCGGCCGTTAAATGATTTTTCATGATACTTACATGTCAGAGCGCTTTGTATTTTTATTTCAGTTTTGTATTTGTTGTGGTCGGAGGAGCATGTCAGCTGACTGAAAAGCCAGGACATACTATTCCTCCTCCGTTTCCTCCTTCTCCCTCTGGAAAACTCTGACCACAGTTTCAATGTCTGCTGCCTATAGGTCATTTTCCCCAGTTAATATAACGATAATAATAATGATAACTTATTATCATGCACGAGAAGACTCGATGAGTTGGGTTGAGAGGAGAGAAATGGGGGAGAAAGAGAGACACACATGAAAAGTTGTGTACTCGTCTGACTGGTTTCTATAATGACAATAATAATAATACTAATTGTGATATTTATAGTCGTAACAATATCCATTAAAAACAGCTGCAAAAACAATGGTTATACTGATAATAATGAACAATAATAATGATAGTGGAGGCAGATCTGGATCCTGCAGCTCTGGGGTCCCAGGGATGAATGAGGACAGAACGGAGAAGCTCAAACTATAGGGGAGAGAAAACAAAGTTAATGACCTGAAGCCGTGTGATATAAATACATGATGGAGGGAGCAGAGGGAGAGATACCGACGGCTCATGTTTGTCTTGTGAGGTTGGGATTGGGATGAGAACATATAGGAATTCAACTAGTAAAAAAGTAACGCGTGCAAAATGTGACAATTCAACTATATCGTATTTTTTACATGAAACAAAATGTTTCCAGCAGAGAAATCCACAGTTTTATTCAGGACAACAGTACGTTTCATTTTGGCGTCTCTGTTATAACTCGAAACGACGTTTGGCGAAGGAAAAACACTTTGCTAGCTCGTTAGCCAGTCGTTTCCTTCACTGTTTGTATCGGTCACTCGTTCTGCATCACGATTTGCCGTTGGCTTCACGTTCTGTCGCCAAGTAAAGCTGCAAACGCTTCATGGAAACAAGATGATTGTGGGACAAAAAATAGAAAACACCTCCCATGATCCCATGCTCCTTCTCTGTCATTGTTTTCATTGGGAGACCCCTGGTGGCTGGAACTAGATATTGTGATGAAAACTTGAAAGTAAATGGAAGAAAATTGAATTCAGGGTGTATAATTGGTGCAGTGGTTCTTTAACGAGAGGCCGGTAGCCGCCAGATGAACGTGTGTGATGTTGTTTATCAGTACACTTGTGTTTGATGTATTTTTCTCTCGTCCTCTGTCCTCAGCTCAACCAGGTCGGCGAGGATCCTCTGAAGCGGCCGGTGGTTTACGTGAAGGGCAACGACGCCGTTAAGTTGATGAACATCGTCAACAAGCAGAAAGTGGCTCGTGCTCGGATTCAACATCGACCACCGAGGGTAAGAGCTCAAACCAAAACCCCAAACCACCGGAGAGCAGATGACTTACATGTGTTTGTGTGTGTGTGTGTGTGTGTGTGTGTGTGTGTGAGAGAGAGACAACCCTGAACTCATGTGAGGAGCTGAACACGTCCGTAAAGCTCCTGCACCGACCGGCGCTGAGAACGTTTTTAGATGCGAGCACACAAACGAAAATTCCAGCTGTGAAATCTGACCCTTTTTTCTTTCTTCTCTTTTTCTCCGCTGCGCCCGAGGCTGAGGACTTTTTCTTAGCGCTGCGAGAGATTAATATCAGCCATTCAAAGAGCTGTTTGTTTGCTTGGAATATTTGATAAGAGACCAACACACTTTGAGGTCAAATAACTTGACATAATGAAAGCCCCAGAGAAAGGACTGTGATAAGAGAGAAGTTAAACAACCTGGTCTTTGCTCTCCAGCAGTTTGAGAACTCAGCACGGATTTGATTTGAAGTTAGGCTGAAGTCTCACTCTGTGTCCTGATTGTTTTTTAATCAACTAATCAATTAACTAGTGAAATGTCAAAAGTAGTCATAGAGTAAAAAGCTCCAATAGTGAAATGTTTTATTCAAAGATATTAAATTTATAAGACTGAGGAAAATAGATCGATGAAGCAAAACTAGATGCACAGAATTTGTATTTTTCTTAACTATATAATATTAAATGATAATGAACTTTACTTGACACCAGAAACGTCCAGACAAAGCAAATCAAAAGCTAAAGAAGTAAAAAATATTTGTATTTGCGTAATGCAGAGGAACAACTCTGATGGTGGAAAGTCTGAAAAGGAACAAAACCAAATATCCTGGTGCACAAATGTGAAAATTATTTGACAAATGTGTGTTTCCCTCGTGCTCTTTTCCTGCAGCAGCCCACGGAATATTTCGACATGGGCATCTTCCTGGCTTTCTTTGTGGTGGTGTCGCTGGTTTGCCTCATTCTGCTCATCAAGATCAAACTCAAGCAAAGGAGGAGCCAGGTCAGTGTCTAAATATGCTCATCGCTTACTGTACTAGAGATGAGAAGCGTGGAAACTATTTATCGTCCCGGTTTGACTCGATTCCGATCAAACACACCCAAATCCAGAATGAGTTTTTCCCGTCAATGCGACCTCACTGTGGAGTCGGGCGACAGTCGCTCTTCCGCTGGTGGATTCCTCTGGTGGGTTGACAAAAAGCTCCAGTGGAGGCTGACATCAGGCCCCAGAATCAGGATTAGCATTTAATTAACGCTGATGAGAGGTCGGCTCCGGAGACAAACACGCTGAGATGTCGTGACAGAGCAGGAAACCTGCCGCGGCATCTGTTAAGACAGGTGTAATCCTGCCACTAAACGTGTGTGTGTGTGTGTGTGTACTCACTCTGTGCAGTTTGTCTGAGTGTGTATTTGTTCCGTGCAGTGTCTGTGTGTGTGGGTGTATAATGGGTGTGTGTCACTGCAGCGGATGACTTTTTCGTGGTTAATTAAGAGAACAGCTCACACCAGAGGCAAATTCATCACATGGAAAAAAAAAAAAAAAACTATCTTCCTTCCTCATATGTGAAACAAAAACTAATTAACTGCTCGTGGACTAAATGTTGTTGATAAATTATTATTTAATTAACACATTTTAACTGTAAACGTTGAACTAAAGTTCCAAACGAAGAACGAGGAAAGAAACACTGAGCTGCTTTCACACACTTTCCTCAAATTATCCGGAGGGGCTGCGCGTGAGAAAGAAAATATTTTACAACTTTTCGTCACATTGATGACGTTTCTAAGATTTGACGGAAACTTGAAGAATATAAATATCTCAGTCATACATGCAGAAGAATAAAGACCTGAATAAAGAGAATAAAGATTTTGGTGATAAGAACCGACCCCGTTGTTGACGTGTTTTAACAAAAACAATCATTTCCGGATATTTTTCTTGCTGCATTTGTGAAAATTAAAGTCAGAAAGTTGAAGTTTTCTGGAGTTCATGTCTGAAAACAGCTTCATTCAGAGGGAAAGGCTGTTGAACGCGTTGGACCCGGACAACTTCCTGCTGTAGAAAACTGTCTTCAGATCAGAAAACAGTTAATAAATGAATCTGTGCACGAGTGATGCACCATGACACAAGCAGTGACTGCTGTAAATCAGAGGCTGCTACACGTGTGTGTCGTTAGGTCTAATCCCAGTAAGTAGTTCTGTGTGTGTCAACTGATCCGTCACCAGTTTTTAATAAGGAAAAAGTTTTGGATGAAAGAAGCTGGAGAATTGGAGCAGAGTTACGTTACTGTCAAAAAATGAAAAGACACAAATCATGACATCGACTGTGTCACGTCAACAAGAGCGAGGAGGAACGCACTCGCCCACGCCGACGTACGGGATGTTCGCTCAAACACATCACACAGTCGACTCTTTAACGTTTCATTTCAGTGTCTTTTTAAAAAGTAAAAGATTTGCTGATTGAACGTGCAGATGTTCCCGCTCTGACCCCGTCTCCCACCCTCCTCCTCCTCCTCCCCCACCACAGAGCTCCATGAACAGAATGGCCATCCAGGCTCTGGAGAAGATGGAGACTCGCAAGTTCAAGGCCAAAGGAAAGGGGCAGCGCGAGAGCAGCTGCGGAGCCTCTGATTCGCTGAGCAGCAGCTCCACCTCGGACTGCGCCATCTGTCTGGAGAAGTACATCGACGGGGAGGTAAGAGAAGCGAATCTGTTATGATTTATACGACCACGTTTGGTTCCTATGAGAGGAAATGAGATAACAGGAGATAACATTATGTTATAACAGAATAACACATGAGGTTAACACAGTGTTATAAAGAAACCTCAGCTACACAAACAACAACAAACAGTGAAACAGAGAAATCTGAAAATATTGATCCACAGCAAACATGAATAAATATCAGAACTCTGAATATCCCTGGTTCTCAAAGACATCCGTGAATTATCCTCGGAAAATAAGCAAAAATGTGTAAAACTTCCCTGAAAAATCCTGGATCTGCTCTTTAAACTGCATCTTTATAAAATGTAATGTTCGTTTCTCCATCACAACAAGTTTAGTGGAAATCAGTTTAGTGTTTTTCCATAAATCTTCTAAAAAACACAAAGAGACAAAAGAAATCACAACCTCGTTAACAGAGACAAAAAAAAAAATATATATAGTCCAAGGAATTTAGAAATAATGTAAAATCAAGGGAGGAAATACTTTTCTCTTCACTAATTTGTCGGTCGATTGTTCTAAATCATCTTCGCTATAGAGACACAAACAAAATGTGTTTAAACTTGAGCTGCAGCTCTTCAAACTCTAAACTTTTTTATATTAAATCCTGTAAAAACTTTGTATAATGACCCAAATGCACGAGTGTTAATTTACAGACAAAGCAACAGAACGATCTGAACTTGATGTTTCAAAATCTTCAGTTTGAGGTGAATCACGTTGGATCCAAACCTTCTGAAGTGCTGAGTTTGTTTTTCTCCGTATTCTGCACACATGAAACATTATGCAGTTTTGTGGACAATAGAGTGGAAGTTCCCCCCGATGTGCTCGGGGACCGCAGGTCTGCCGTCTTCGCTGACGTTCTTTTCCGGCGTCTTTCAGATGTTTCGCTCGGCCTTTCAGAGCACCTGGAGAGATAAGACTACCCAGAGTGCACCGGGCTGTGATTGCGCTTCCTGTTTTCCCAGTGTGGCTTTCTTTAAATTTTTTACAGGAGTCATTGTGAGAACATGTCTTCTAATCTTGGACTTTGAGTCTTTACTGTAACAGCATTGCTCATCGTCATTCATGGACACTGGGCGGGGGGGGGCGCAACCCAGCGGTGCCCAGGGGGACGTAGATGGTGTGCGGGCATTTTTTTGTGGTTCGGTGTCTGTTCGATGAGGAGGAGAAGAAAACACAACAAAGCATGGCGCCAGGATTGCACAGAGGAAGTGGCGATATGAAAGACTGAATGGCATCAAAGCCTTTTTTTTTTTTTTTTTGAACCATGCAACAAAAGCTTGGGTGGAAAATAGCCCAAAGATGAGTCACATTAAACCACAGAGTCAAGTATTTATGGCAGAGCTCTTACTGGAAGAGAATATTACAATTCATTGTCATTGTGTTGTTGTGACTTCTGAATTCCTCCATCAGAGAGCGGTGTGGTCTTCAGCCTCCAGCGCGCGGCCGTCCTTTGTTTTGTTCTCAGCATCACGCTCGTGTTTGTTCTGTGATGTTGTATCAGGCGCAGACTTTAGTTTTTGGCATCATGTTAAGTTTGCTCCTTTTAAAAACATGATTTCAAGCAACACCAAGTTAACAGCTCTTTGTGGCTCTGCTGCCACCTGCTGGACATTCAATCACACCCAACTGCTTATTCACCCACTGAGAAATTAAACCGTGTTCGTTATGCATCTGGTCTACTGAAGAGAAAAGTTATTATCTTAATATTAATAATGAAAAGCACTAAAAACACAAAAAAAAATTTTAATTCACCAGACAGGATCAAAAATCCTTAAATTCATAAGAAATTCAGGTTATGACCATTAAAAAATGTTTTTTA